ACTGAGTGAAATCCATCGATCTCCGTTTATTTAACTAGGATGAATAGTTGAATACTTTTTTCCCACGACAACAGTCATTCATCTTATGCCCAGATTAGAGGAAAATGCACTTTCTGAAAACTGTGTGATTGAATAATTTTGTGCACTTTTCGGTTTCAGACTTTTTTCTGTAACAGGTGCAGCTGCTGATAATTATTTTTGTTTCTTAACCGGTTTGGCTAGTGTCATTGTTATGTGTGCAAAGCATAGCCAAGTAAGGAACACTTAATTTTAATTGTGTAAGTTTTTTTTATCAGGCTTGCTTAATATTGTGCACAGCATACAACCTCAAAATATTGTTTATCTTATTTATTTCTCTATTTATTGTATTTTGTTTATTAATGAAAAAAATTCTGTGTTTATCCTTGTGGTATCGAAAATGACATTGAGTATCGAATATTTGACTTAGAATCGGTATCGAGTTGAAAAGTTTAGTATCGTGACAACCTTAATAGAATCATTCTATTACCCCTTTAAGGAGGGAGATCTGAGTGACCTAAAAACAACCTTTAATATCTGTGACATAACAGCAAAAAATGTGATCTTTTTATGCATTTATTTATTTTTTTTAATCATTTTTAGAAATTACCATTTAAAATGCAAAAGCCTGCACTAAAGAAGCAATTCAATCTATTTGCTGAGGTTTTTTTTTCATGTTGGTGGGGTTTCAGCTTCACGTAGCTGAAGCACCTATTTGATGATGCGGTCCAGGGTGTAAACACTGTGCAGCTGAAATGCAGAGCAGTGAACTACCAGCAGAAATAACGTCTTCATCGCGTGCTGTGTAAATGCACCATTACACTGAATTATAGATCAGATCATTTTAGCAGATCTTAAGTCCTTTAAGACATATCCAGCTAAGGATTGTTCTCATTGAAGGTTATTAGATTATTGCCATATAATCCTTGCTCATGCAATGTTTGGTTGGATAGGAACCTCTGACATTCCAGTTCAAGAGATCTTAAATCAGAGGACTATAAAAGAGAGTTCCTGTTTTTTTAAAAGTTCCTTCATCCAAATAGAGGTAGTTAATGTGGAGCCATCGGATCATCTCTATGTCATGTATTTGTTCTGCCCAGCCACTGAACAAGGTGAGTCCAATCTGCACATTGAATTAAATTGTGCACCTGGTTCAGTGACTGGCCAGAACCAATACATGACATAGAGATGACCCGATGGCTCCACATTAACCACCTAATACCAAAGGAACGCTCCATAACTAGTGAAGGTTAAAACATGGACTTTATTGGTCCATTGTGTAATCAGATTTTCTTATAAATGTCACCTGCCAGCTCCAACTTTCTTTCTAAGAACTAGAAACTGGTGTATTTAATCTCAATATGAAATAATTAAATTTACCAAACAATTACCACAAAGAAACCGAAGATACATTCATCATCTAAACAATTTAATACCATTAGACAAATTATATTACAGCTTTAATTAGTCTGTAAATATCAGAAAAATTGAAAAGATCATTTGTAACTTACATGAAACAATACACATTTTTAGAATCTATTAGGTTTTCATTTCTACTCACTACATCAATCTAGAAGTAACTACGGTACATCAAAGGGAAACATCCACCACAGGAAAAAAAATAAATTCTTTAAAGTAAACAATAGTTTCTGCTGTTACGGAGCCCCCTAGGGGACATGGGGAATTTTTTTTCTTTTGCGTTACCTCGCAAAACTTTTGCGTTCCCTCGCAATACTTTTGTGTTACCTCGCAATACTTTTGCGTTCCCTCGCAAAACCTTTTGCGTTACCTCGCAAAACCTTTTGCGTTACCTCGTAATAGGGCTGGACCACAGAACGGACCAGACCTCTGACCTCTGGCCAGACTGGGACTGACAGGTGACACATTAAAATGACCTACAAGACCTTTTCTCCCTTAGAGACGGCTTTACAGAGGGACCAAGGTGCCTGGAGACCCTGATGGAGGACCATCTCAGCCATCCTTTAATCCTTCAGCAGGAGGAGGTGTGGCTCAAAGTCATCAAAGAAAGTGATCAGAGCTCATCTGAGCTCATCTGGAAGGAACCAGGAAAAGCTTCAACAAAACAAATCAGAATAAAGGGGCAGAATAATCCCCTCTGATTTGTTAACACATCAGTCGTCCACCTGATGTGTTGAGGACCAGCTGTTCTGCAGACCACCCATTTTTTGCATCTATTATAATCATTTAACATTGTCCGCCGACTTTATGCAGTTGTGGATCTTTGATTTATTATTTTTTAATTATTATTATTTTTTTTTATTTTATTTTTTTTTTAGTTTTGTAGTTTTTAGATTTCTTTACTTTTATTCACAATTTTTAGTTTCTTAGATTTTAGCTTTCTTTACATATACTCACAATTTTAGTTTCTTAGTTTTTTTATATTCATAAATTTTCCTTTTTTTATAAAATCGATTACACAAGGATAATATCCTTTTATAATCGAAAAGGTGGACTGTTGTCGGAATTTTTTTTATCTTTCTTCTATTATATATTCATATTCATATTTACTCACTATAAATGTTTTCACTCAGTCTGTTTCTCTCTCAAGGCCACACATTTACTCCAGGCTGGTGTTTGTAGACCAGACATTGCTTCTTCCCATAACAAATCAGGTTCTTTCTCAAGGTTTATTCATAACATGTTACTGTTAACCAAAGTGCGTGTAATTTGTTATGACTCTGACTGCTTTTCATTGTTGTAAGTAGGGGGGGGACGAACCCTGCCCAGATCAGAACAGAGAAGAATGCTATGCCATTAAGGCTTCATGATGACTGTTCTCTTTTTGCAAAGATTATTAATAAATGTGCCGACTGAGTGAAATCCATCGATCTCCGTTTATTTAACTAGGATGAATAGTTGAATACTTTTTTCCCACGACAACAGTCATTCATCTTATGCCCAGATTAGAGGAAAATGCACTTTCTGAAAACTGTGTGATTGAATAATTTTGTGCACTTTTCGGTTTCAGACTTTTTTCTGTAACAGGTGCAGCTGCTGATAATTATTTTTGTTTCTTAACCGGTTTGGCTAGTGTCATTGTTATGTGTGCAAAGCATAGCCAAGTAAGGAACACTTAATTTTAATTGTGTAAGTTTTTTTTATCAGGCTTGCTTAATATTGTGCACAGCATACAACCTCAAAATATTGTTTATCTTATTTATTTCTCTATTTATTGTATTTTGTTTATTAATGAAAAAAATTCTGTGTTTATCCTTGTGGTATCGAAAATGACATTGAGTATCGAATATTTGACTTAGAATCGGTATCGAGTTGAAAAGTTTAGTATCGTGACAACCTTAAAAGAATCATTCTATTACCCCTTTAAGGAGGGAGATCTGAGTGACCTAAAAACAACCTTTAATATCTGTGACATAACAGCAAAAAATGTGATCTTTTTATGCATTTATTTATTTTTTTTAATCATTTTTAGAAATTACCATTTAAAATGCAAAAGCCTGCACTAAAGAAGCAATTCAATCTATTTGCTGAGGTTTTTTTTTCATGTTGGTGGGGTTTCAGCTTCACGTAGCTGAAGCACCTATTTGATGATGCGGGCCAGGGTGTAAACACTGTGCAGCTGAAATGCAGAGCAGTGAACTACCAGCAGAAATAACGTCTTCATCGCGTGCTGTGTAAATGCACCATTACACTGAATTATAGATCAGATCATTTTAGCAGATCTTAAGTCCTTTAAGACATATCCAGCTAAGGATTGTTCTCATTGAAGGTTATTAGATTATTGCCATATAATCCTTGCTCATGCAATGTTTGGTTGGATAGGAACCTCTGACATTCCAGTTCAAGAGATCTTAAATCAGAGGACTATAAAAGAGAGTTCCTGTTTTTTTAAAAGTTCCTTCATCCAAATAGAGGTAGTTAATGTGGAGCCATCGGATCATCTCTATGTCATGTATTTGTTCTGCCCAGCCACTGAACAAGGTGAGTCCAATCTGCACATTGAATTAAATTGTGCACCTGGTTCAGTGACTGGCCAGAACCAATACATGACATAGAGATGACCCGATGGCTCCACATTAACCACCTAATACCAAAGGAACGCTCCATAACTAGTGAAGGTTAAAACATGGACTTTATTGGTCCATTGTGTAATCAGATTTTCTTATAAATGTCACCTGCCAGCTCCAACTTTCTTTCTAAGAACTAGAAACTGGTGTATTTAATCTCAATATGAAATAATTAAATTTACCAAACAATTACCACAAAGAAACCGAAGATACATTCATCATCTAAACAATTTAATACCATTAGACAAATTATATTACAGCTTTAATTAGTCTGTAAATATCAGAAAAATTGAAAAGATCATTTGTAACTTACATGAAACAATACACATTTTTAGAATCTATTAGGTTTTCATTTCTACTCACTACATCAATCTAGAAGTAACTACGGTACATCAAAGGGAAACATCCACCACAGGAAAAAAAATAAATTCTTTAAAGTAAACAATAGTTTCTGCTGTTACGGAGCCCCCTAGGGGACATGGGGAATTTTTTTTCTTTTGCGTTACCTCGCAAAACTTTTGCGTTCCCTCGCAATACTTTTGTGTTACCTCGCAATACTTTTGCGTTCCCTCGCAAAACCTTTTGCGTTACCTCGTAATAGGGCTTGGTCATCGTGACGTCACCACTTTGCGTGGTCGCCATGTTGACGGTGCACTTTATGGCTTCCTTAGACTATTGCCTGTGACTAACGCGTACTGTTCTCCCTCTCAGCCGTGTTTTATTTCGTTTAATTTCACCGTAACTTGATTTCAACCATGGTAAACCGTTGCTGTATTGTGGGCTGTAACAGCGCATCACATGATCGCCGAGGGAAAAACCTACAAAATGGGATAACTTTCCACCGCTGTCCTGCCTGGAGGCGCAAACACGGAGACCAAGTTTCACAGATAACAAAAAGTCGTCGGCTAGCTTGGATCGCGGCTGTAAGACGACAGAACATAACTTTCCACAGTATCCTGATGTCAATGCGAGTGTGTTCCCTGCATTTTCATTCTGGTAAGTTAAAGATGCACGGTTTTATTTTATAGCCTACAGGGTTTCCTTCCTTCATCCGTGGCACCACATACATGCATGAACGCGCGCCCAGAGACTGTTGATATAGCATTTTCATCCTCGTTGGTTGAAATAGCATTTGATATAGCATTTTATCCTCTTTGGTAGAACACACTGCCAGTTCCTACAAGGACAGGGACATCCCTCTCCATTTTCAAAAAAACCCTGAGGTTGACAGCTGTCATAGCACCACTTATAAATTTTGCTGATCCTAGCGCTTACCAGCCGTCTTGTAATGTAATGTAATCATATAATACAATATAATAATGTGTATATTGAGGATCATTGATAACATTATGGTTCTATATGTGTTCAACACTGCTGCTGTGGATAATAATTTTAAATTGTGTCACCAGGAAAACCAGCAAATGAAATGTACACCTCGCATCCGGATTGGGCACCATCACTACACTTGGGCCACACTGAGATAAAGGCCACACAGACTGCACGCTATGAGAGACAGGAAAAGAGAAAACGGCAAAGGACTGACAGTACACCTGCGAGGATGAGACAGCTATTGATGACCTTGTTCCACCCGGTAAGCCTTACAGAGCCAGCAGATTCAACACCGTATGCTGCTTTTGTGGCTTTTTCAGCTGCATGATGCACATTTACCTAAAAGATGTCCTTATTTTATCCATAGTGGAGACACCAGCACCAGGTGAGGACGGAGCTGAGCAGACACCGCTGACAGAATGTGACTTCTGTCAGCGCCGGCGTGCTGAAATCAACCGGCTGCTGGAGGAGAACAGGACCCTGAAACGTGAGCTTGGCCAGAGACTTCAAGCTTAACACTAGCTTTGTGACCATTCATTCAGTGAAAGGAATCTCAAATCTTCATCAAAACATTTATTCAAAATATTTAAAAAAATTTTAAGAATAATTTGCTGAAATAGAAATCAGCATTTGTTTGATACTGTTAGAAAAAAAAATGTGTCCTAACAGGTTTTCTGAACCATCTTCTAATCTAGTCTCCCCCAGCTGCTGGTAGAAACAAGATTTTTTTTACCATCATTCAGAAACTGGATAGGTGTTACATCTGTATTTTGTTGAAAATCATTTATTGAACATTGTTATTAATAAAATTTTAAGGAACAGATTAAATAGTCAAAGATCCGCAAAATATAAAAAAATAAACAATAGTGCAGTGCTGTGGCCATTCAAGTTAACTTAATCAGTCTTTCAAAGTGAACTATTTAGAAAAATGAGTGCAGTATTGACTGCGGGTTATTAAAGCTGACCTCATAAAACACTGTAACGGGTAACTTTGAGCTTAAATCATTCAGTCAGAGGTATTATGCAGGTTTAAATGTCCCGTGCTCATTTCATTTCTTTTTCTTTTAAGTGATATAACAATATAACAGCGTGGTTGTTATACTTTACTGTTGTATAACTGTGATTTATATGATATGTATACACATGCATGAGGGGTTGAGGTTAACGTTTGCTTTCCTGCATAGAATGAAATATAATGGTGTCCTTACCTGCATAATTTATGTCTATTTTTTTTCTCCTCAGGTCTTGCACTCTCAGCGCATTAATGAGACTCCCCTGAAGCCATGGGTCATCATTGCTGACGATGGGCAGTTTTGCTTTGCACACTGTACATGCATGGCTGGAATTGCAGAGGCATGTACACATGTTGGGGCTCTGCTGTTTAAGATTGAGGCAGCAGTCCGCATCCGTGGGAAAAAGACTGTGACAGATGTGCCAGCTTATTGGAAAATACCAGCAGGTATCAACAAAGTCAGCGGTGAAGTCGCCCACAAGATGGACTTCACTTCATCCAAAGCGCAGAGGATTGCTCTGGACAGAGTCATTGATGACAACATTCCCATGCCTGGCCTACGGACACGGGCCAGCAGACGCACTGCCCAAGCCACATTGGACGACTTATCGTCAATGTTCCCTGTTCTTCAGAACCATAGGTCAGTTTGTATGTCCACAGTGAAGCCCTACTTTCACAACTATGCTGCTCCTGTCCAGCCAGCTGTGATCCCAAAACCCCTGCAAGACCGTCTGCGCGACCCAAAGTTTGAAAATGCTCCACCAGCTGTCCTTCTCCAGCACTGTGAGACAGTGAAAGACATTGCAGCTGCATATTATTGCACGTCGTTATATTACAATTAGTGCTGTCAAAATTATCGCGTTATTATCGCGTTAACGCGAGGCCATTTTAACGGCGATAATTTTTTTAACGTGAGATTAACGCTATGTGGTTTTATGGTAAAATTTTCCAAGTACATCCCGCTGCAGCCTGCGAGAAGGCGGGGCTATTTTCCCCCAGTCTATGCATTTCTCATAGGCTTCTAGAGCGGAGCTCCTGAAGGGAAAAAGACGCTCATACACTGGGTGACGCTAGTGCCTTTTCTTTAAGCCCCACCACCAACAAACAAGTTGAGTGTCTGGTAACTAGTAGCAACCTGAAATACGCTGAGAAAACAGATTACTGAGGTGAAATGGAATCTGCTACGGCACTCTTGCTGTCACAGGTCGGTATCGTGTGTGTGTGTGTGTGTGGGTGGGTGTGTCTGTGTGTGGGTGGGTGGGTGTGTGTGTGTTCTCATTTTTGTTAAGAGTCTGAAAAGTAACTTTTATAGACTACCTCCATCTAGTGATGTCGGTCTATTGATTTTGATGTATTGATTGAAAATTGTTCATTATTATCTTGGTTAATTAACATCTAGTGTTAACTGTACTACATTTTATAGCAGTAGGGTAAAATGCTTGTCTTTGTTCAAAAGACTGTATTAACTGTAAAGACTGTCTTTTACATCAGCCTGTTTTCAGGGCCTTTTTTTTGGCTACATATTTGTTATTTTTTGCTACATGCCATCTTCTTGCCATATGTTTCTATGGCATAAATCAGTATCTGTGACCTGTTCTCATTTAAAAAAAAGAACATTGGCACAAACCTAGCCTGTATGTATTTTTTGTATGTCATCGAGAGTATTTAAATGATTTTCAATCAGAAAAAAAAATTTGCGATTAAAATGCGATTAATCGCGAGTTAACTCAGGCATTGATGCGATTAATCGCGATTAAAAAAATTTAATCGATTGACAGCACTAATTACAATACAATTATAGATTATATTATTGTATATCATGACATATTGCATCGCAGCCTTTATTTATACAATTTAAGAAATGCATATTGTTAAAAGTAATTATATAAGACATTGCACTAACATTGTTTTTTAATGTGTACTATAGTAATAATTTGCACTACTTCAAATGTTATTGATATCTGTTATTACTTAATTTGATCTACCTCCAATTTTTATGTTTGTAATTGATGTTTCATAAATACGTATTTTTTATTACTTTGGAATTTTTTTTATACATAGAAATTTTTTATAAAAAGCATAGTATTTTGTATTATTACATTGTATTGTTATATTTGCATATTATTGCACGTTGTTATATTATTATACAATTATAGATTATATTATTGTATATCATGACATATTGCATCGCAGCCTTTATTTATACAATTTAGGTAATGCATATTATTATAAATACTTATATAAGAATTTGCACTAACAGTGTTTAACTGTTAATGTTTACTATAACTACAATTTGTATAATAATAATTTGCAATACCTCCACTTTCCATTTCTCCATTGATGTTTCATTAAGACCGACTTATTAATAGGATTGAACATTTTGTATAAATACATACTATGTTATTGTAAGTAATTGCACTGCATTTTCATCGCGTCCATTTTTTATTTGTAACCATTTACCTACAAGCATTCAAACTGCACTGCACTGTTCTGCGCTACACTGTGTTCTCAAGTTTCACTACTTGCAAATAAACACTGAAAAAGAACCTGATCTTTTGAGACCTCTTACTTTTGGGTATGGATGCAAAACACACCTATGGCTAAAAAACAACCCACTTGTTAAATGTTTGCTTAGAGTGTATTGTTGATACAAAGAAATTGTCAATTCCATATTGAGCATCAATCTTTTCTTTAATACAGTAATTCATAAACACCAGAATAAAGTGGTTGACTTCAAGGTGTGGAAGTCCAGTGTAGTATTTCACTTTGACAGTGTCTTCCTTCAGGAAATCTTCATCCATTTTTCTCTGGCCAAGCTCACGTTTCAGGGTCCTGTTCTCCTCCAGCAGCCGGTTGATTTCAGCACGCCGGCGCTGACAGAAGTCACATTCTGTCAGCGGTGTCTGCTCAGCTCCATCCTCAGCTGGTGCTGGTGTCTCCACTATGGATAAAATAAGGACATCTTTTAGGTAAATGTGCATCATGCAGCTGAAAAAGCCACAAAAGCAACTTACGGTGTTGAATCTGCTGGCTCTGTAAGGCTTACCGGGTGGAACAAGATCATCAATAGCTGTCTCATCCTCGCAGGTGTACTGTCAGTCCTTTGCCGTTTTCTCTTTTCCTGTCTCTCATAGCGTGCAGTCTGTGTGGCCTTTATCTCAGTGTGGCCCAAGTGTAGTGATCAGTCTCTGGGCGCGCGTTCATGCATGTATGTGGTGCCACGGATGAAGGAAGGAAACCCTGTAGGCTATAAAATAAAACCGTGCATCTTTAACTTACCAGAATGAAAATGCAGGGAACACACTCGCATTGACATCAGGATACTGTGGAAAGTTATGTTCTGTCGTCTTACAGCCGCGATCCAAGCTAGCCGACGACTTTTTGTTATCTGTGAAACTTGGTCTCCGTGTTTGCGCCTCCAGGCAGGACAGCGGTGGAAAGTTATCCCATTTTGTAGGTTTTTCCCTCAGCGATCATATGATGCGCTGTTACAGCCCACAATACAGCAACGGTTTACCATGGTTGAAATCAAGTTACGGTGAAATTAAACGAAATAAAACACGGCTGAGAGGGATAACAGTACGCGTTAGTCACAGGCAATAGTCTAAGGAAGCCGTAAAGTGCGCCGTCAACATGGCGACCACGCAAAGTGGTGACGTCACGACGACCAAGCCCTATTGCGAGGTAACGCAAAAGGTTTTGCGAGGTAACGCAAAAGGTTTTGCGAGGGAACGCAAAAGTTTTTGCGAGGGAACGCAAAAGTATTGCGAGGTAACGCAAAAGTATTGCGAGGGAACGCAAAAGTTTTGCGAGGTAACGCAAAAGAAAAAAAATTCCCCATGTCCCCTAGGGGGCTCCGTATGCTGTTAATGAAAAGTCTTTAAAACTTGATTAGAAAAATGCTTTTAACCCTTGAGTCTCTCATGTAATGAGGTGAAGGAGTTTCTAAATGGACATTTTATCACAAGTCAAACATGGAAAAAGGCCTCTACTGTTCAATCATATGGTTCTAACTGCTGGGACTTCTTATGTGAAGCAATACATCTTTTTTTTTTTTTAAGATAATTAGTTTCATGTGTTATGGATGAAAAATGTTTCTCCCATGAGTCGCCATGTGTTGAGTCACATTATCTTCTCTAGAAAAACTTTTGCCACAAATTGTACAGGAGAAAGGCTTCTCACCTGTGTGAATTATCATGTGTTCATTAAGCCCAGATTTAAAGATAAAGGTTTTTCCACAGAACTGACATTCAAAAGGCTTCTGACAAGTATGATCTCTTGTGTTACTTTTGACAGTAAACCTTTTGTTACAAATAGTACAGGAAAATGGTTTCTCACCTGTATGAAGTCTGATGTGTGCACCAAGATCTGATTTCTGAGAGAAGCTTTTTCCAGAGGACAGACAGTCATTAATCTTCTTGCCTGAGTGAGTGCTCATGTGATCCATTAAATGTTCTTTTTTTGGAAAGTTTTCTCCACATTTCAAACACGGGAAATGTTCCTCGCATGTATCTTCAGTCTCGTGCCTCAGAACAAGCTGCTCTTCCTGCTCACCTATGATGAGCTCCATGATTTCCTCTTTTGTCCAGGGATGTTCTGGTTCTTGCTGCTCTTCTTTTATCTGCAGAGGTTGTGGTTCCTCTTGGTCCAAACTGGAATTCCTCTCCTGTTCACAGAAATCCTCCTCTTTTCCAACATAATCCTGAAGGTGATCTGGAAAGACAAACACAGCAGAAAGAATTTCTAATATTAGTTAAAGAAAGGACGCTTCACTTTCATCATCCTTGTATTGATCCAACTACATATAAACAGATTGGAACTACATCTCCCAGCATGCATTGCAGCTGTGACATTACAATAATATGTTTGGGCTGCCACTTTTATCTTTAAACCTTTAGATTATGTTTGAACAGAAGATGTTTTTCTTTCATTTTTCCAGTACACAAACCCAATCTTCATTTTCCGAACAATTTAATTATTGACGTTTTCCTGCCATCTGAAGTGATAAAACATCATGTGTTGACTTACATTCATTCACAAAATAAGGATCTGTATGTCTGTTTCCATCATAACATCCAAACAAATGTCTATACATGATCATTTGATGAAATATCATCTGGGGCGACGAAGATATATATATACATGTTTTAAGCTAAAAGAAGCAAAGAGCTAAGCTAAAGCTGCATCAAAACCTATTGTTCATATGTATCAGGGCAGATTTACAGAACAGTGTAGAAAACAACAGGTGCAGATGGGAAGGCTGAGAATGACCTTGCTCCCACACACACACAGAAAGAAGCTGATTAACAGTGGAGCAGAAAGGCAGGAAGCAACTCCATATTTGGAGATAGGAAGTAGGGAGTATGATCATTCTGTGGGACTGTCTGTGTGAAACTGTATGATGTTCCCCTATGAAGATAATAAAAGGAGCCGGTTATGCAGGGGGGGTCAGAGTTGCTGCTGATGCGTGCTGCTGATGCTCCTCTCCCTTTGCAAAGGCCAATCAAAGCTTTGTTGTCCAGAATTTTTTTATAACTGGAAGTCATTCTGCCTGCTGTGGCTTTTGAAAACATGGATATTGTCGGCGCCCCAAACATAGCTGCCGTTACCAAGGAATATTTTGAATCAGGACATGCGTATAAGGTCATACTGGATATGCTCAAGACTAATCACGAAATTTCAGTTAGTTTGCGTACACTGAAGGCACACTTCAAAGAAGCTGGACTGTTCAGACGACGCAACTTCCGGTTCAAGGGTCAAACGGCACCGTCGTCCAATCAGCGATGTCTCATGTTTCCCACTGGTACCTACCTTTTTCGGTAGGTTAATGTAATTGTGTTTTTCTTAATGTAGTGGAGCTTTGCTTTATGTAGTTTTGTTTTCCTTAATGCAGTTGCGCTTTGCTTTATGTAGTTGTGTTTTTCTTAATGTAGTTGCGCTTTGCTTTATGTAGTTGGGCTTTGCTTTATGTAGTTTTGTTTTCCTTAATGTAGTTGCGCTTTGCTTTATGTAGTTTTGTTTTCCTTAATGCAGTTGCGCTTTGCTTTATGTAGTTGTGTTTTTCTTAATGTAGTTGCGCTTTGCTTTATGTAGTTGCGCTTTGCTTTATGTAGTTGGGCTTTGCTTTATGTAGTTTTGTTTTCCTTAATGTAGTTGCGCTTTGCTTTATGTAGTTTTGTTTTCCTTAATGCAGTTGCACTTTGCTTTATGTAGTTGTGTTTTTCTTAATGTAGTTGCGCTTTGCTTTATGTAGTTGGGCTTTGCTTTATGTAGTTTTGTTTTCCTTAATGTAGTTGCGCTTTGCTTTATGTAGTTTTGTTTTCCTTAATGCAGTTGCGCTTTGCTTTATGTAGTTGTGTTTTTCTTAATGTAGTTGCGCTTTGCTTTATGTACAGGTGCTGGTCATAAAATTAGAATATCATGAAAAAGTAGATTGATTTCAGTAATTCCATTTAAAAAGTGAAACTTGTATATTATATTCATACATTACATACAAACTCATATATTTCAGATGTTTATTTTGTTTAATTTTGATGATTACAAATGACAACAAATGAAAATCTCAAATTCATCATATCAGAAAATTAGAATATTGTGAAAAGGTTCAAAATTGATGGCCCCTGGTGCCACACTCTAATCAGCTAATTAACTCAAACCACCTGCAAAAGCCTTTAAATGGTCTTTCAGTCTAGTTCTATAGGCTACACAATCATGGGGAAGACTGCTGACTTGACAGTTGTCCAAAAGACGACCATCGACACCTTGCACAAGGAGGGCAAGACACAAAAGGTCATCGCTAAAGAGGCTGGCTGTTCACAGAGCTCAGTGTCCAAGCACATTAATAGAGAGGCGAAGGGAAGGAAAAGATGTGGTCGAAAAAAGTGTACAAGCAAGAGAGATAACCGCACCCTGGAGAGGATTGTGAAACAAAACCCATTCAAAAATGTGGGGGAGATTCACAAAGAGTGGACTGCAGCTGGAGTGAGTGCTTCAAGAACCACCACACACAGACGTATGAAAGACATGGGTTACTGCTGTCGCATTCCTTGTGTCAAGCCACTCTTGAACCACAGACAGCGTCAGAAGCGTCTTGCCTGGGCTAAAGAGAAACAGGACTGGACTGCTGGTGAGTGGTGCAAAGTCATGTTCTCTGATGAAAGTAAATTTTGCATTTCCTTTGGAAATCAAGGTCCCAGAGTCTGGAGGAAAAGAAGAGAGGCACTTCATCCACGTTGCTTGAAGTCCAGTGTAAAGTTTCCACAGTCAGTGATGGTTTGGGGTGCCATGTCATCTGCTGGTGTTGGTCCATTGTGTTTTCTGAGGTCCAGGGTCAACGCAGCCACATACCAGGAAGTTTTAGAGCACTTCATGCTTCCTGCAGCTGACCAACTTTTTGGAGATGCAGATTTCATTTTCCAACAGGACTTGGCACCTGCACACAGTGCCAAAGCTACGAGTACCTGGTTGAAGGACCATGGTATCCCTGTTCTTAATTGGCCAGCAAACTCTCCTGACCTTAACCCCATAGAAAATCTATGGGGTATTGTGAAGAAGAAGATGCAATACACCAGACCCAACAATTCAGAAGAGCTAAAAGCCACTATTAGAGCAACCTGGGCTATCATAACACCTGAGCAGTGCCACAGACTGATCGACTCCATGCCACGCCGCATTGCTGCAGTAATACAGGCCAAAGGAGGCCCAACTAAATACTGAGTGCTGTACATGCTCATACTTTTCATGTTCATACTTTTCAGTTGGCCAACATTTCTATAAATCCTTTGTTTTTATTGGTCTTCAGTAATATTCTAATTTTCTGATATGATGAATTTGAGATTTTCATTTGTTGTCATTTGTAATCATCAAAATTAAACAAAATAAACATCTGAAATATATGAGTTTGTATGTAATGTATGAATATAATATACAAGTTTCACTTTTTAAATGGAATTACTGAAATCAATCTACTTTTTCATGATATTCTAATTTTATGACCAGCACCTGTAGTTGCGCTTTGCTTTATGTAGTTTTGTTTTCCTTAATGTAGTTGCGCTTTGCTTTATGTAGTTTTGTTTTTCTTAATGTAGTTGCGCTTTGCTTTATGTAGTTTTGTTTTCCTTAATGTAGTTGCGCTTTGCTTTATGTAGTTTTGTTTTCCTTAATGTAGTTGCGCTTTGCTTTATGTAGTTTTGTTTTTCTTAATGTAGTTGCGCTTTGCTTTATGTAGTTTTGTTTTTCTTAATGTAGTTGCGCTTCGCTTTATGTAGTTTTGTTTTTCTTAATGTAGTTGCGCTTTGCTTTATGTAGTTTTGTTTTCCTTAATGTAGTTACGCTTTGCTTTATGTAGTTTTGTTTTCCTTAAAGTAGTTGCGCTTCGCTTTATGTAGTTTTGTTTTCCTTAATGTAGTTGCGCTTTGCTTTATGTAGTTTTGTTTTCCTTAATGTAGTTGCGCTTTGCTTTATGTAGTTGTGTTTTTCTTAATGTAGTTGTGCTTTGCTTTATGTAGTTGTGTTTTTCTTAATGTAGTTGGGCTTTGCTTTATGTAGTTTTGTTTTCCTTAATGTAGTTGCGCTTTGCTTTATGTAGTTTTGTTTTTCTTAATGTAGTTGAGCTTTGCTTTATGTAGTTTTGTTTTCCTTAATGTAGTTGCGCTTTGCTTTATGTAGTTTTGTTTTCCTTAATGTAGTTGCGCTTTGCTTTATGTAGTTTTGTTTTCCTTAATGTAGTTGCGCTTTGCTTTATGTAGTTGTGTTTTTCTTAATGTAGTTGGGCTTTGCTTTATGTAGCTTTGTTTTCCTTAATGTAGTTGCGCTTTGCTTTATGTAGCTTTGTTTTCCTTAATGTAGTTGCGCTTTGCTTTATGTAGTTTTGTTTTCCTTAATGCAGTTGCGCTTTGCTTTATGTAGTTGTGTTTTTCTTAATGTAGTTGGGCTTTGCTTTATGTAGTTGTGTTTTCCTTAATGCAGTTGCGCTTTGCTTTATGTAGTTGTGTTTTTGTTAATGTAGTTGCGCTTTGCTTTATGTAGTTTTGATTTTCTTAATGTAGTTGCGCTTTGCTTTATGTAGTTTTGTTTTCCTTAATGTAGTTGCGCTTTGCTTTATGTAGTTTTGTTTTCCTTAATGTAGTTGCGCTTTGCTTTATGTAGTTGTGTTTTTCTTAATGTAGTTGCGCTTTGCTTTATGTAGTTTTGTTTTTCTTAATGTAGTTGCGCTTTTCTTTATGTAGTTGCGATTTCCTTAATGTAGTTGCGCTTTTAGATTTGTAGTTGCAGTTTGCACTTCAGGGCCACCGTACTTTTCTGTTATAGTGTAAACTTAAAGGAGTAATCTTTACCATTTGGAGAGTGTTTTCCTTGAACCACTAAACCACAGAATCAAGATTACTCAGAATTATCATTGAATCTTTCTCTGTGAAGAGCTGGTTCAGGATTTTTTTTCCTTGTCATTAATGGAAAAACCAGGAGGTTTTAGCAACCAGAGAAACAAGGCTGAGGGCAACATTCCACATATCAAGGCAGAGACAGAGTGCTGGAGGTAAGGTACACTGCCAGGTGAGTGAGGGAAGATAGATGGATCTGTTTAGAGTCAAATCTCATTTAAGTTGTAAAGTGTGTTTTTTAGTGTATTTCATTTCAAGAAACTTTATGGCCCCACATCATGTGATCAATTGACTTTAAATCAGTGTTGGATCATAGTTCCCTATTGGCTTCAATCTTAC